GCCCCCATCGGAGATTGGTCGAAAGTGCGCATGCGCTGCATTATCGCGTGGCTAGAAGGAAAGCAGGCGGAGAGGCGGAGACGCTTGCGAACGACCAACGCGTTAGCCGCCTCTAGCTCGTAATACAGACGCGGCCCATAAACCACGTGACCCCAGATTGAGTTGATGGATATTCTCTGTAATACAGGCTCCCTAACTGTTCGCTGCCACCTAGCGGTTGTCGCCGACTTCTCGTCGAGAAGCAATTGTGACGAAATGCGCGGGCCTAGTGTTCCAGTCATTATTACGGCGGGATGTAAGATTCTTACGAATTCCGTGAGCTTTTTCCGTGGCAGAAAATTCGAGCGAATGTAATCGGGGTGCAGCGGATATAAAGGACCCACCGATGAAAATGATCCGTTTGCCGCTAGGGGCGCCCTGGTCGGGGCTCGAGTTAAGTCCGCTCCTTTCCTATGCAATCTCTAAGAGCTTAAGAAAGGCAAGGCGTGGCGGCGAGACCCGTGCTCTTGCGACGGCTCACAACCGGCTCCGCAGCAGCGCATCCGAACCACCGTGATCCGAACGTAAGCCGTTACAAGGGGCTTAAAACAGGCCTAGCCTCATTCGGCCGTAGTCTGTTGCAAGCGTGAGAAGGGGCCTTAAAGACCGACGACCAGTTCGCGCTTTCCACTTTACTGTCGCTTTCTTCTTTTCCTCCTTTCACCCTGTTCACCGTTGCCTGTTTCTTCCTCCCTCATGATGAGGAGGGTCTTCTGCCGTGCAGAATCTCGAATCTGTTCTTCGGCATTTAAGAGGAGCAGGGCGTGGCTTGTGGCGTTCGCACCTCTCGCTTCGTGGTTGGTTGCTCGGCATCCTTATATCGGCTCATGCCGCAGCCTCATTGGCTGCCGGCCGAGCGATAATGAGATGCTCGGACCTCGCCACGCCCCGCGTTGCATAAGTTGTCGGCGACTATTGGTGATTTTCGTCGCGTGTTTTGGAAGCTATATTTCACGGCTTCTTTTCTTTAGACTGCCAGGTGGTGTAAATAACTGATATGCGCCACAGGACTGGCGAGTGGACCCGCTACCAGGATTGTATACTCTACCCGCTAGGTGGCGTTGATTTCTTTGGCGTCCAGAATAGTGAAGCTTGCTACTTAATGACTGAAGGAATTTGAGCAGAAGGGCAGGAGTCTAACTCACTGGAACCTTAGAAGTCCGCCCCCCTTCCCAACACCAGTATGGCGGCTTCTTCTTTTTTTTTTTTTTTTTCCTTTATTTGTTTCGCGGAAAAATCCGCGTGGGGGGCAGAGATAAAGGCCTGGTGCCTGACAGAGCCTCTGCCCCCCCCCGTACAGTTCAGCAGTGCAATACAAAAAAACACGGTGGAAAATGCATCAGAAAAACAAAACAAAATGCGCCATTTGCCAAAACCGATATAAAAATAGAGAGAAGCATTTGTGCAACATTATAAAAATATATAACAAAATTAGCATTTCTTATACCATGAAAAATAAAAAAAATAATAAAAAGACACTGATCATTGAAAATGACCAGGAACAAAGACATGCTTCCGTTGTAGACTGCAAAAAAAATACAAGTATACAATACATCACATTAAAATTTGCCACAGCACAGTGGTATTAATAAAAAATCAATAAAAGGTTTTTCTCTCATACTTAAACATCAAGAAACAAGGAATGGAAATATGCACAAAAATTAAAGACATTTATAACACTCATGAAGTTTACGGCACTAACAAAGATGAAAAAGCAATTTCACTTGTCACGAGCATCCTTCTACAAGAACATTTAAAGCTATTAAAGGGTTGGTGGAAATCCAGAGACATATCTTTTCTATTCAAAGTTTTATTTATCTGGAAATTCAGCCTTTGTCGGCCATAGTTAGTTCTTATTGCCGGCATCTTCCTTATTGGGTCTCGAATATTGTACGTGCTCAGATTGTATGTTGGCGTAGTGTGGAGCTTATTTCTGTGTATGAATTGTAATAATTTGAAATAAAATACTTGATCTGCTTTTAGCATATTATATTTATTAAAAAGTGGTTGCGTGCTTAAATTTCTTCTGTCTCCTTTATAATTTTCATACATACGCAAGATTTTTTTCTGCAAGATAATTAGTTTGTTGTAATTAGTTTCTGTCGTAGTTCCCCACACCAAGATGCCATAGCTCATTTTTGAGTAAAATAGAGAGTAGTATAATGTTTGTTTAAGCCAAGTCGGTAGTAAACTGTGCACTTTGTATATGCTTCCAGTAACTCGGGACAGTTCAGCCTTGAGCATTTTAACATGGGTTGACCAAGAGAGGTCCTCAGTAAACCACACCCCCAAAAATTTTTGCTCTGTAGCTTGCTCGAGCAACGTACCTTCAAATGTTATGTTGATAGTACTGTGATCGCGTTTGTTTATCGGCTTAAAAATAACATATTTTGTTTTACTGGTATTTAAAGCTAAGCGATTTGTTTCTAACCATTTTGAGAGTTTTAATAGATAATCATTGGCTAATTTTTCTACGACCTGTTTCGTCTCACCAGCAAAAAATACATTTGTGTCGTCGGCGTACATTATTAACTGAGGGGAGCCAGGTATTTCCGTTATATCGTTTATGTAGACAAGGAATAGCAGAGGCCCTAGTATAGAGCCTTGGGGAACGCCATGTTTTATTTTCATTTTGCTGGATGATCCATTATTTAGGCATACATATTGGTAGCGTTCATTTAGATAGCTTTTAATTAATTTTAGCGCTATTCCTCGTATACCATATACATTAAGTTTTGTAAGTAAAATATCATGTTGCACAGTGTCGAACGCCTTTTTTAAATCCAAAAACAATCCCAGTGTGACCAATTTGTTTTCAATGTTTTCCGCAATTTTATCTTTTATGTCGATTAACGCTGATTCTGCAGACTTTTCCTTCTGAAAACCATACTGAGCAGGAGTTATTATATGATATTTTTTTAAAAAAAGCTGTTATCCTGTCGTTGATTACACGCTCGAAAACCTTGGAAAAAACCGGGAGTACTGAAATGGGCCTATAATTATTAATCAAGGTCTCTCCACCACCCTTGTAGACAGGAGTCACTTTCGCGATTTTTAATTCATCAGGAAAATTACCGCATTCAAGCATCATATTTATTATGTGGGATAATATAGGACCTATTATGTTCGCGGTGTACTTAATTGGTAGCACTTTTATTTCATCGTCCCCAGCTGCAACATCATTTTTTAGACTACATATTATCTTATCAATCTCAGTTGGTGTCGTTGGAAAAAGCATGATAGATTCCATTTGATTTCCTGCCAACATGGAGTTATCTGAGTTTGCATATTTTCCAGTGCACGTGCCTATGCTAGTAAAGTGCCGATTCATTTCGTCAGCAAGTTCTGTACCGACAATAGTTTTGTTATTTATCAACATTTCCTTCACGCTGCTGCGTGTTTGCTTTCTGCTCGTTAGATAGTTAATCGTCTCCCACACTCTCTTGTGGTCATTGTGAATATGCAGAAATTTATTTTGATAATAATCACACTTTGCTTTTTTGAGGTCGGATTTCAATTTGTTTCTAAACTTTTTGAAGTCATCCAATAGAGCGGGATCACGATTTTTTACAAAAACATGATACATGCAGTTTTTTTTTCGTATTCTTTTATACAGTTTGCCAGTTATCCACGGTTTTCTAATTTTTCTAGGCCCTTGCTTACTTTCCCGAAGAGGAAAAGCAGAATCATAACAGTGTTTAAATTTCGTCAAGAAGCTTTTATAGGCAACTGCAGGATTGCGTTCTCTAAAGACGTCGACCCAACTTTCCCGCTCTATTAGGCAGCCAAAAGTACTAAGCGTTTCTTCGTTTATTATGCGGTACCAAAACTTGTCCATACAACGATTTTGTTTCCAATTTGTAAAAGACCTTATGCAGAATATGGGTAGATGGTCACTGATATCGTATAAAATAGCACCGGCCGTAACATGATTTATATCTACGTTTGTGAGGCAGATGTCAAGGGCCGTTGCAGTTTTTAATGCGTTCGCATTAGTACCCACATGACAGGGAAAAGCTGACGGCGCCCTTCTGTGGACAAAACAGTGGAAAAAGAGGCGCGCCGCGTGGAGTGGAGGAGATTAGAGAAGGACAAAGGCGAGAGGGAGGCGATGTCACGGGGCAGAAGCCGATGCGCGCGCAGATGCTGGGGCGAGTCTGAACTTTCAGGTGTGCCGAGCGCGTATGCCGTGGTTCGTGCTACAAAAATTAAAGGAAGATTCATTGGTGGATCATTATTGGATCCGTTAGCATGACCCTCGGGAAACACCGCACACGTTCTCCTCTGGGAAAGAGAGCACTGATCCCGTAACGAAGCTAAAAATAGGCAGCAAAAATAGACGAAACAAAAGAGAAAATCAAAGGAGAAAGCCAAGACAGAAAAGTGAAGAATCAGCGTTAGCGTTTCCCAAAGGAGGATATGTGTGGCGTTTCTCGAGAGAACGAATTCCCTAAGGATCCACCAATAAATTCTTTAATCTTTTTTTAGTCGAACTTTTACGGTTGAGATGAAACATTAGCAACAACAATCTGAACTTCTCTTGGGGCTACGAAGAAAGGACACACCACAACCCCAGCAGCCTGCCACCACCGACTCCCTGCCCTTTACCAAATTCATGGCTTAACCCCTCCCCCATGACCCCTGACCCCTCCTCTAGCAGAGGCAGTAGGAAAGGACACCCCATAACTCCAGCAGCTTGTCATCCCATCCTCCTTGTCCCTTCACCCAACTCCTGACCCAACCCCTCCCTTGTGACCCCTTACCTCTCCTCGAGCGGAGGACGCAAGAAAGGACACCCCACAACGTCAGCCATCACGTTTTCCTTGTCCATTCACCCAATTCCTGATTCAATCCCTTCCCCGTAACCTTTGAACCACTCCTCAGTGGACAACGCAAAGTTCAGAGCAAAGGGTTTTTATTTCCCTTCACTAAAATAAATAAAAACGTTTTCAATTATTCAGTTAGGGAGGAACGGGTACCTTGTAACTGTAGCAAGGCGCGCACTGGTGAAACTCTTCCTGCATGAGCTCGATGAGCTGCCGCTGGAGGCCCCTGTCGGCCCGACGGTCGGCGGGCAGCCTCATCTTGATCATGTAGCAACGACCGAACTTGTGGTTCATCTGGTCGTAGTCCCCCATAGTCTCGATCTTGCAGTCTTCCAGGACGATGGCCCGGTCGCACAGCTCCTCGCAATGGGACAGCCTGCGAGCCACGTCACACTTTGTCGCCTCACCAGGCCTTACTATAGGATGCCTGAATGTCCCGCACAGGGTGACAACAATAACCAGCGGTAACACTGCTGACACTTCATACAAACGGCATGATGTTCGCTGCAGAAAAGATGACAGAGGTATCTGTGGACACGCTTCGAGCGAGCATTAGTAAAGTACAGAAGACACGCAATCGGGACAGTGTCCGCAGACCTTCGTTTGTACGATGTCTTCAGATCCTGACCGTGACAGCCCTCACCTATGAGCGCTGATGACCATGGTCGTGGCCCGGACGCTCTTCAATATTTGCAGGAACCGCACAATCTGGTGGCGGAAAAAGGGCTCCACGTCGGAGTACGGCTCGTCCAGCAAAAGGATCGGGGGAACGCCGACTATGGCGATGCCCAGAGAGAGCAGCTTCTGTTCCGTTACTCTGCCAACGGAGAAGTTGATTGCAAGAAAAGAACAATGAGTACTGGCCAGCAAGGTGACTGTTCGACGATGCGATGGCGTTCGTTCAGATATCGCTATATGCTCTGTTTCACGCCAACTCCGACCGCAGGCAACGTTAAACGATCCGATGGCGTCGATGAAGCAGCGACAAAAAGTGTAGCGTCCTGGCGCTCGCCGTCTTTGTCCGTTTGTTGGCACGGACTACACCAACCACGTACAGTAAAAGAAATGGTTTGTGTGTATGTTTATGCAGCCTAGAACTTGGCCTGCCGCAACGGACGACGAGTCTCCCAGTTTTTTGGGAAAAATTTAACCAGTACAGTACAACCGCGAGCCTGGGGTCTTTAACGTGCATCACGCAGTAGTGATACACGACAGTACGCCGGTCACGTACAGTAAATGTGCTGCGATCCTGCGTTTTTGTTCCCCTGGGTGACTCATTCAGCCGATGATGTAAAACGCACGAAGATAACAGGAGCAGTGGCGATGCACCTTTGACGCTTCCAGGTTGGCTCCCTATAGACCAACTCAACTCACTGACGTCACGCAGATGCGGTGGCGCTGCTGTCGTTACTGCACATGCGCAGACGCATCACTCCTCCGGCCGAATTGGGTTTCTGCGCACGCGCAGTGCCCACAACTGTTGTCTGCAAAGAGGCCTTGTGTTGTAAACACTGTATTGGTGTCTAGGACCGTAACGTTGGGGCAGCGGTATAGGCCTTAGCTTGAAACGGAGTATATAAGCCACCAGGTCTTATTATGTTCACTGTCGGCATTAAAAAAAAAAAATAAAGACGCTGAAACACTGCTCGTGGTGACTAGAGAGCACCGTTAGGTCGCTGCACAGCCAACGAGATTGCTCGCTTAGCAGATCGAAAACGCCCAGCAACGATTGACGAAATCGTAAAGTTCATCAGCCCCACTCTGTCTACCTTAAGCGCCCAGAGACTGCGGATAATTTCTGCACCAAAACGATGTCACGAACTGGCTGATGGGATGTCAGGATGTCCAACATCGTAAAAACAAAATTTAAAATATGAGCGTTAGCAATGGATTAATTATGTTTGTTTTAATGAACCGTTTCTGTATGGGATGCAAACAGGGTGTTAGTGAACAATGGCCTACGCATCTAATACCCTGTAGGCCATACGGGTAGCAAATGAAGTAAATCTGGGAAAGTAGTGGATTGAATGACACGGTCAGAGGTAACATAATCATAAAGACATGCCGTTTACATTAAAAATAACATGTGTGTATTATTTCGCGCGTTTGGAAACGTAATGTCTGGAATCAGGACGTGCCCACGTTACCTAAATAGACTAACTAAATTTCTTTGGTCGTTGCTTATTCAAAAAGTAACTAAGTACGTTACATGCTACGTTAAAAAACAAGAAAAAAATGCGTGAGTTCACCTTAAACGTAACGTGTTATTTTGCTTTTTACTCTGAATCTGCCCTCTTTATGAAGCGGCAGCTGGTTCCGGTATTTGTTGTAGTTAAATGTTTTTCACAGCGTTCAATTAAAAATAACAGTGGGCACGCTCGCACGTCCTGTCACCATCTTTTTTATGGTTTATCTAGCGTTTTCTCGTTGTGCAATTTACAGGCGCCAACTCGGGTGAGAACTAGCTTCGACACTTGTGCTGTACAGATTCTCTTCCAGAAGTGACTAAATACTGTTACTCGTTACTCCATTAAAAGCAGACAAAATACGTTACTGTGTATCATCTCTTAAAAAGTAAACAAGTCTTTATGCCGTTATTTAAAAAAAAAATACCAAGGTGCAAAAAACACTTTACTTGCAACCCGTCACGTACAAGTCTGGCCATGTGCCTTACGTGTAGTCGCCACAAAGCTTGTCCCCCTGAAGCGGGCTGAGCAGCAGGAGCGTGCTGGAGACGACGAGTCGGCGGTTGGCGACCGGAGAGATGCCCCGAAGCCTGGCCACCAGGTCGAGCATCTCGGCCCCGGTGAGCACGGGTACGAGCCCGAGGCGGCCGTCACACGAGTAGCCGATGGCCATCTGCCAACGGCGAAGGTCCCCGCTGAGCGTGAGTCCGGCCATGTACGCGTTGCCCCCCGTGGCCGTCAGGTCGCCCGCCAGGAGCTTCATCAGGACGCTCTTGCCAGAACCGTTCAGGCCCGCCATGCCCAGGCACTCGTTTGTTCGCAGGAGGAAGCTGGTCTTCTCGAGGCCTTTCTGCGGAAGGCGGCCAGCGTCCCTTTCTCGCGTTAGACGCACGTAATACCCTACTCACACGGATATTTACATCTGGTTAAGGGTGACTACATGGGCATCCTAAACCGCAGTTAGACTTAAGAATGGTTTAGCAGTTCGCACCCTGAACCGCAGTTAACCACAACTGAGGTCACACTTAACTGTTGTTAAGGGTGTCACAGGGGCATCCTAACTCGCCGTTACGCTAAAATATATGGTTAGTAGTTCCTGGCAACTATACTTCTGCTGCACGGGCACCGTTAACTTGGTCTCAGTCACACTTAACCGCTGTTAACGGTGCCCATGTAACAAGGTCATAACAGATCCTTGATGCGCTCCGGTGGTGGCAAAGTTATCCTGTGGTTGACCGATGCCACCTAAAAGACAAGGCATGCGTCTTTTCTCCAGAACGTCGCCACCACTGGAGTCACGCAGCGTCGCCTGAATTGCGTCAGCATTGCCGCCAGTGGGTCGCATAGGGTCTCACACAACGAGCGCGACGTTAAGACGCCGCGACGCCGGACGCGTCTGCTGCAGCGTGTTTGCCGCTTGGGTCAGTTCAGGGATCCATAAAACAAGGCCTACCCGTGAAGGCCTGTCCAAACAGGATACTACAAAACTCACGACTCCGGCAAATCGTGCCGCGCTCCGCTTCCGGTCGTCGGTGGGAAATTTTCCTCCGTCAAAGTTCCCGGGGGGAAACTTCACCCCGTCAAATCTCCCCCTCGCTTCCTCCACGGCGGCCTTGCTCTGCTCATCACGTGGGTCCGGAGAGCCACTCACACGCTTTGTTGGCTGTCGGTCAATCGCTCAAGGCCTCCGCTCAGAATACGGAACCGCATCGGACGCCATCACGACGAAAGTGATTCTCGACAAAGAAAGCAGATCCAAGGCGGGCGAAACGCACCCTTCGACGCAGGAATGTCCCAAGTTCACCCGAAGCCGGACCTCCTTGGCCTTCAAGCCGAGGCGACGGCGGTACGCGAGGGCGTTGGCGAGGTGAGACAGACGCAGGTGGCGTGTGACGTCAATCTGACGAGGAGAGCAGTCGTGATCGTAAAAATTTTCACGACTCCTGCAAACATTTTCACGACTCCGACAAATCGTAAAAACAGAAGCGTCCGCTTCAATTTTCACGATTTGTCGGAGTCGTGCGTTTTGTAGTGTCCTGTTTAGACACCCCTTGAGGCGTTTTCTTCATAGTTGTTACTACTTAATCGCGGTGATGCTCGTTCACGTGTTTCGAGCGGAAGGAAACGCATGGGACAGTTCAAAAACGCGGCAGCCACTCACCTTGCCCATGCATCCAAACGACTTGGTCAGGCCCCTCACAACCATGATGACGTCCTTGAACTCCCTGAGCTTAAAGATCTTCTCGACCTGCTTCTGCTCCCTCTCCACCTCCGGGTCCATGGACGCCACCACCAGGCGCGGCCCTCGGTCCCCGTCGTTGTCGTCGTCACTGGTCCCCAGCAGTTTCCGGTTCAGGTGCCAGAGCATACCGTGCAGGAGCTGAGAGTCGGTCAGGAACAAGACTCCCAGGTAGAAAAAGCCCTCGGCGACCAGCGTGATTGCCTCGAAGAAGCCGGTCTCGTAGCCGGGCCCTAGCGGCTGGAGCAGTTCTGCGCTGCCGTTCTTCTGCAAGGCTGAGCGGAGGGGAGAATACCCGCATCAGTTCAATATACCACACGAAGACAGGGCCTGCCTTCCCCACAAGGGAATCGTTTCGGAACCAGGCAGGTCTCAAAACGTTTCCCTCTTGAATTCATGATCGCCACAGATGATCCAAACTATGCATCGAAGGCAGTGATGTTTGATATTTTCATCCGGAAGTTCTTGTTTTACAGTAATAGATGTTATGCGCTCTTCCCAGCACTGAAAATGACGTCCATTGTTGTTGTAGTTGGCAATGTAGAGTGTCCGTCCTTGATGCCGTCAAATCCTCGTAGAAGATCGCCCGCCGACCTCGGCAATCAAGCCTGGGTCTAATGCGTGCTGAGCGGAGGTGTTACCCCTGAGTTACACCACCCGATGGCCTCTGCACGCGCTCTCTAAAACTAAAAGCCGCTAACAAAACGCCGTTGTGGCGCTGTTAATGCCAAGAGCTCGTGCCGGAAAACGCACTTTCACACGCTCCGGAATAAAAAGAAAGACACAAAAGCCCTCGTAACGAAATGGCCACAGGTCTTTTTTTATTCCGAACACTTTTGTTCGCACATTTCACAGTGCGTGAGGGAGATCCCGATGCCCAACGACTTCACTGTGACTTGTCACAGTTATCGCTGTGGCTGTATTTTGTATCGTGCGGTACTGTAATGTGGATTAACACAAGACTGGTTCATCTTTTTCTTCCTAGGTTTGTTAAATGCAGTTATGTATCTTGCCCCCCTTCCTTGAAGAACCATCGCGAATGTCTGCTCAAAGAGTGGCGCATTCATTTTTGTCATACACAGAGAAGCCCCCTAGCGGACATGGTGTGCCGCCGGAAAGTAACGTGACAACCTGTCACGTAGTATCATGATATCACGTGACTTCATGACGTCACCTGGTAAAGTGACATCGCTGTGTGACGCGACGCTTAGGACGTGACACCGCGATCGAAGCCCTACATCGCAACTGCGATTTAGAAGAACAACCCATAATGACTATCGCTGTAAAACAATACTTGTTGAGAAAGCCGGCATTTATCGTAGTGAACTCTCTCGAGTCAGCGACATAGACCAGTCACCTTCGCAGCAGGGCATGATCCTGTCGTCGGTGGAGAGGGCGCCGTCACTGCAGGCAGCCTTGAGCAGTTCCCCGCCCGTGGTGCAGACGGCGTTGTACCTGGCCAGCAGGACCAGCTTCACGATGCCTCGCGAGAAGGAGTACGTGGGGAACCAGCGGCACAGGAACCCCAAGGACACGATCGCCCCCGTCATAAGGAACGACGGCGTGTATGCGGCCAACAGGTCGAACAGTTCCACAGTCAGAGATCCCACGATGCCTGCGAACAGATTGTCATCGGAAGCTGCTTAATCACAAGTTGGGCGCCTCCTGCTCGGCTCGTTAAAATCTTTGTTTTATTTTATTTATGGGTTCATTTGCCGGTCAAGGCAAATAAACCAATATACCACACGAAGACAGGGCCTGCCTTCGCCACAAGGGAATGCAGTGTGGTGTAACAAAAATACCAAACAAAGCAATAACCAAAATATATTACTGTGAGGTTTACTGAGCAGGTGAGCAGGCGCGGAGAATATAAAGAAGCGAAAATACACTTGTTGGGGATGCGTGAAATTTCCCGAGCACACCAGCAGGCGCGGGGGATTCCAAGAAGCGGATCCCGCGTGGGTTCGTTATCTGTTGCGTTTCTCCCCGCGCCTGGTCGTCGGCGACTTGTTAATAGGGAGTTTTCGTAGATCGTTTTCGCCGTCCCGCAAGGCTCTCCGCAACCCGCTACGATACCAGAAACTCTACAGTCAAGGCCATGGGCGCGCAGGCGCAGTAGCGGCTTCTTCGTTGCGGAGGGCTTAGCGGAGGGGGAAACGCGGTCTACGAAAACTCCCTATTGGGAGTGGGGACGGGAGCGGGACGGGTCCCCCGCACTTCGGAATGTGCGCCCGTTCGTAACCTAGGACAGAGACGGCTCGGGCGGCTGTGCTACCGACGCGCTGAGTACTTTTCGTGTTTGTGTTTTGTTTAGCGTCCCCTTCCCAAATGTGAAGAGCCACTGACCAAGGGTTTCTTGATGGTGCCTTCGGGAGTCGGGTTCGCGGCCCGGGGGTCTGACTTTCCCGTCGTTGACGGAGACTGCGGGGCGCCCGACATCTGTGTGTGTGCGTGGGTGGCTGTTTTTCTGTGAGTCTTTTTGGAGTGTTTTTGTTGTTTAGAGTGTTCTCCCTGATTGGCTGCGAGAAGACCTTTTGAGATTGGTCGTTGAGCAAGCGGGAGAGGGGGGGAAACTTAAATAAGCGACCGAAGAAGGGGCCGAAGGGCTGCTTGGTCCATGGAAAGCGTCTTGTAACTTTCAACTGTTCTGTCTTGTAAATATATTCATTCTTTTCATCATCGACTGTTGAGTCCCGTCTTGAAATCCGTCGTCTCTACGATCCGGCGACCCGCCGCCTCTGCCTCTGAACATCATCACCGACGCAATCCTCACGGAAGAGAAACGAACAAACATCACTATTACCACAAAGAAATACCGGTAAATCAAACTGGCATCAAACTGTCACCCTACGAACAATGAAAAGAAAAAAAAAAAAGAGGAAAACTTGAGCACTGATTAGTAAGACACCGTAAATCAACGTCTCGAGTTAACCGAGGAAGTTTGTGAAGGATATGCGCGCCTAACCTACATAACCTTATTAAAAGCGTAAAAGCACGTTTTCTTTGGAAGGGCTTTGGCCCTCAAGCAGTTAGCAAAACAAACAGACAAACAAACAGGAAAAAAAAAAAGATATGCGAAGTTGGCGCTCTCTGTTCGTACCAGCGAGCATGAAGGTCAGTGCCAGGACAAAGTAGGCTCTGTCCGACTCCGAGAACATCATCGTGCACAGGTAGATGAGCGGCAACATGGCGAAGCAGTAGGCGAGCGTCAGAAGCCACATGGCCGCTGGGAACAAAAATACGGTAACATTCGTGTATTTTGAGTTTGTGTGCGCGTGCTCCTTTGGTTGTTCGTTTGCTTGTATGTAAGGCGTCCTTTTAGCGTCCTATGCGTTATACACCAAATTCCGGTCACAATCATTGATCGGTTGCTTTGGTTTTAAGGATCCAAAGTCTTTCAAGGCCATTGAGCGCTTCCGGATTCTTAGTTATAGTATGCCCTACTTATAATCCATATACATTGCGCTACATGCCGACATTCATCGCGTCGTGCGGAAACAAACATTGCTGATTCCGAAAAGACAGACTATTGCAAGAGATTGGAACGACTATAGTCACGGGCAGAATTAATACGACAAGTCCTTCAGTTGCCTTCAGCTCCTGCTTTCTAACTTCGACAAGGCTTCTGGCGAGCCTCGAGCGTGCGCGCGAAGCACGGTGGAGGGCAACGAGCGCCTGTTGTGGGCCGGGCATTCAAAAGAGGCATCCTGCCGTTCTTATTCTGCCAGTGACCATAGTTGCAATCTGAACCATTCGTCGAAGGGCCCTTAACTTCTATTTATGAATCGCAGTAAGCTGTAATTGTTAGGTAACAACGGTATCGCCGGTCGAGGTTGCGGGGGCGGCGTTTGGGAACGAACATAGAAGGCCATCGTACGCGCAACGCGATACGCAAATATTCCTAGTACAAAATTGGCGCTCTACTGGAAAAACAAATCCTGCACAACAAATACCATACAGCTAACTACTAAAAATCTTGATTTTTTTCAACCGAAGACGGTGCCACGCACGACCACAATGTGCAACGCAACTGGTTCCCATAACAGCCGTCTTGTGGTGCAAGATTAAATGCAAAACAATTGCGATCGTTTCTTCGAGCTCGATACGCTCTTTTCTAGCGCATAGAAACTACTGAAACAAAAATAATAAAAAGAAGGCTACGATATTTGCTTCATAAAAATCAAGATTATGACATTTAATTGACGGCAGAAATGATAACACACACGACAAAGACTGCAAGCATGAAAAACTTTACACATCAGAATGCCCAAGAGCGTACCAGTGTATATGCAGTGATAGTGTCAATGTTTCATTTCAGCGTGCACCATGAGGCAGCTAGCGTATACAGTCCTGTCCTCGTGTACGCTCTAATCAATGACGAGCAACGCTAAGACTCGACATAGAGGTCTCCATCACAATCTCAGGCCAGGCGTCCTGGTCAATCAATTTTTTTTCTTTATTTGTGTCTGCGGATACATGTTCCGCAGAGGGGGTTTAAGGCTAAAGGCACAAAGTGCCTGACGAGGCCTTAACCCCCTCTTGGCATGCAGCGAGCAACAACATACATATGCAATACATCATACACATATAATACACCATACACATATAATACATAGTATATATATAATACATCATACATATTAAGTACAGATTCGTTAAATTCATATCAGTTCAATAGCCAAATCTTAATACTGTCAAATATACAGTTTTTTAGTTTAGACATACTAAAACAGATAAGTATTAGATACATATACGTGGTAGATCCAAAAGTCTAGATCACGACAGTTTTACACGAGTCTAAACGAGATATACATTGACAATTTAATTCACCGCTCAAAAATTGTCGTCTGCTTACTCACCCCAGTACGTCCCGGGAAGCGTGTCATGACTGAAAATAAATGCCGCCATGAAGACGCACGAGCTGACCATGGCTCCGGCGCCGTCGAAGAGCAGATGACCGATCCAGTAGAGCGAACCAGACATCCCCGTCATCAACTGCAGGTGCTTGAAGCCGCTCAGCCGCTCGCCGATCGGCTCCACAAGATGACAGGCCGAGTAGAAGCCCATCGCCAGGGACACGAAGAACGAGTTCAGAGCTCGGGACAAGGTGTTCTGCCTGAAGAAAGTGTCGTCGATCCGATCCGAGGCCAGCTTGCCGTACTGGCTTTCGAAGATGGCCCGCTGGACGGAGTCATCGTCGAGCAAGGGAGAGTTTACCAAGGTGATCGTAGACCGGCTTTCGCCGGACAAGCTGCGGAGGAGTGCCGTGTGGTACATGTTGACGACCAGGGGGCCGCTGTGGGGGCACTGGCCGTTATACCAAAGGAACACCCTAGAAGGAACGAATGCAGCGTTCACTGAGTTTGGTTACGGAATGACCCAATAAATAATTTCATTTCTGTATGAGTTCCCTAAGGTAGGGTTTTTTGTGTTTGAGAGGCGGGACCCATCAGGGCGAGGGGGCTGTTTCGTGTGCCCACTGGCATCAATTGTAATTCTGGGCGGACTTCCCAGGGGCGGGGCCTTAGGACTGTGTGAAGGAAATGTACCGAGCCTTGGGCGCGCAGGCGCTGAAGTCTCAATTTGGCAGGGCTGTCTTTTTGATAGTCTTAGCTAAAGCTTTGTTCCTAGCAAGCCGGTCAAGGAAGTTCTAAGCGCTCAAAATCAGTGCTTAGACGCTGGACCCCATGGAGTGAAAAAAAGCGAAGAGTTTTGCCAGGTGGGCTCTTGATCTGCGCATGGCATCTGATGTTGAGCCACGTGCAAAGGAATCGTGAAGCAGGGTGAAGTTCGTGGATTCTTCGTCACGTATTCGCTCCTACGAGTTCAGTGTTTTTATTCACCGATGTACTCCATTTTTTGTTTGAGGGGCATGGGCTACATCTTGCGTGGACTACAAGAGTCCGCTGAAGACTGGCGCTACGTTTAATGGTCTTTCCACTCAGGCTGGCGATCGCTTGATCTAAAATTGTTTAAAGAATTCATATGCCGACTGTAGATAATGCGTCTTAACAAAACAGTATGTATCCGATTATATTTAAGTTTACTAAGCTGTGTAGATACGTGCTCGAGCTTCTCTTCGTGTCATAAAATTAGTGCCCCATATATACAGCCCGATGCCAACAACATCAAAGCTCACCTGTCGTTCTTGTGAAGGCTGACCCCGTACTGGTATTCGAAGATGTAGACATTAATATCTTCGTCCGCCATCAGCAGAAGCTCACGCTCCATGGAGGTGCCGTTAACAACGAGCAGGTTAACGCCGTTCTCCACCAAAACCGGGCGCATGAAGTCGCTGAGAAAATGGTTCTGCGAGCCGTCCCCTTCCACAAATCCGTACGATCTGTCGAACACCGCGGCTGCATTGTAAGTGACGTTGCGCTGGTAGGGCCGCGACTCGAACCTGACCAGGCGTATTGTTAGCCCCAGAAGGATCAATGTCAGAAGTGGGAGCAGCAGGGAGAGCGACTTGAACCACCAGATTCGCGTCCAAATATGAAAACGCTTGTCCAGGAGAGTCCCCAGCACGCTCATTGTGCTTGGACTGCTTGT